CCCCCCCCCCCCCTGGTTCACAAAATTTGAGATCGAGAAATTTTTTCCAATATTTTACATTATAAGTACCCAAAGAAGCTATATATGTAAAAAACCAGACACAAATAGGTATTTTGCAAAATTGAGAGCAATTTCAAATCTGTTCAGTTTTTTTTGATACACCCTGTATATATATATATATATATATATATATATATATATATATATATATATATAAATTCAACTATTTTGCAATACTTATCTACTGTTCCTATACCTATAAAGAGTACTCCAATAACTAGTTCCCGACTTTATATTTGTATTTGCAACATCCTACTGAAACTGACAAGTAGTCTCTGCTAAAGAACAGTAAAATATTACTTAAATATAGGACAGAATACATTCTTTAATGGTACAGACTGTTCAACAGATGTTGTTTTCTCCCCAAGGTATTCAAGACCGTAATTTAGTAGGTATAAATCATTGAAACGTAAAAAAATTGACATGTCTTGGAATGAAACATGATTGGACAGATAAAACTAAGGATTCGAATGTAGTGTTTGTATATGCAATTGTACATGTGCTTCTTGTTTTAACTCGTTGCAGGTTGAATACCTTTCAGAAACCTGCATATTTGTCTACTTTATTTTATTTTAAATCTAATGTACAGTGCAAGTATGCGGCAACAATCATTGGCGTAGCAGTCAAGTACGACCAAAAATCTTGAAATATCGCATCCTGACAGGTACATATGTGAATGCTTGTAGACAAGCCGACGAGAACTTGTTGTGGGCCCCTGCCGTCATGAGCCCCTAAAATTAAAACAATGGAAAAGATAAAAAATATAGATTTTAATTTTGAAAATCAAGATTAAGATATTACAATTTATGCTTTAAAAATCTAAATTTACGAAATAATTACCGGAAAATTTAACAAATTACGGTACAGTAATTCGAAAGTTGCTGAAAATGGTATTCCGGAAATTTTTTAACCCCTCCCCCAACCCCCGGTCGCCAACAATTTTGGGGAAAAAGATTAATTAGGGATTGAAATGTTTCATGTTTGATCAGCAATACACCCCAATTTTGATCCATTCGTCACTGGGCCTGGGCCCCATCAGACGTTGCTCATTCGTCCTTTTCAAGACTCCTGCAGCACGTCCCTGGTAGCGGTAACAGCTAGCGCCAGTGTGTAAGTATGTATATGTATCCAAGCACACCAGTGCCCAGGGGCGTATTTAATTGTGTTTTGGTGCGCGATTGCTAAAAAACTGTACATAGTTTTACAGTTGTATGAAGTTAGAATTAACGCTCCACGCTGCAGTCTGCAAATGAGTACAAATGGCAGGCGACAAATCTTGTATGGAAACACTTTCACTTACATGAAATGTTTTAAAAATACTTCTCAGATCTTTTGTATATTTTTATTTTTACCTGCGAGTCTTTGACTGTGTGATGCACCCTGTGGTAGCAGTGACTGACTGGCGATTATGCAAAATAGATTTAATATAAATATCAAGATTTTGTTGGCATCTCATTCGATTGAGTAATAGTTGAAGGGTCTTGTAGATGGAAATTATCGAGTGGAAATTTATTTACATTCATTAGACCTCACCATGCAGGAACAACTGCGAAAAATGCAACTATGCGATTCCTAGGTTTTTAATTAATCATCTGATCGAACTTGGCAGCTCTGAAATATCAACAATGCTCAAAGTAAACATTTTATACATGTTTGTGATAATATGAACCCATAATTTATCAGAATCACAGACTCTTAGTATGCCTCTATATGATTGAAAAAGTAAAACATACTTTTGTAAAACACACATTCACTGTCATAAAATTATGTTTAGGGGAAATAACATGCTTGTAAAATGCATGCTAATGATATTATTCATTCCATTCATTCATTCAGGGGGATCTTTAGCCATACTTTAATGTCGGGGGTGTAAATGCAATTTTGGCGAGTAATCCCAGCCATGCACACCCCTCTAGCGACGCTGTTTCATTCCTTATAGCCTTCACCGGTAGCACTTTCCTGGCGATAGTAACTTCTAGTTTTCAAATTAATAAATAGTAGTGTGAATGTGCATTATATATGTTTTCGAATAGTATACTAAAGTAGTTGAAAGTGAATGTTTAAAATGTATTTGATTTTGACTTTTAATTTCATTTCTGTGTGGAACACAATTGCATACTTGAAAAAATGGTTAGGAAAGTGAAAACGTCAAAAAACAACATTGACATTGTACCAAATAAGAACATTCTAATTGCAATATGATTCTTATTTCCTATGAATATAATTCTTATTTTCTACAATAACATTGTAGAAAATAAGAACATATGCATAATCCTATACCTGCATGTACAATATAACATTGTACCAAATAAGAACATAATCTTACCTGTATAATATAACATTGTACCAAATAAGAACATAATTCTACCTGTACAATATAACAGAGGAGGAATGTGGACCATCTTTCACACTTTCACGTGAAGAAAAACAGCACGTTTCACGTGAAGAAAAACAGCACGTTTCACATGCAAAAAGTTAATCATTTCACGAAAATATAAAACACGTTTTTAATTAACTGCAAATTGCATTTCATAATTCTATCTCGAGGTTTAATGCATGCCTTTCTTAACCCGTTGGCTTATGTTTACCACTGAAAGCTCAACATTCAAAGACTTTTTCAAAACCAACCAATATATCTGGTGAACATCAAGAAAATGTGTGTTTGCAGTAAAATTGTTACATCCAAAGCATAGGTCTTCTTCACGTTCAATTCTCGTTTCCTGGACAAAAATTACCCGCAATCACGGCTAGGCATGTGAATCATGTTTAACGACAAGAAAATCCGTCATTTCCCAATTTACGAGATTGTATATTGGCAATTCCTTTCTCACGAAATTACGAAAATACCCTTCACCACCATAGATATCTTATATATACTAGATAGCGCATCTCTTTTAGTAAAATTGAAGCCAAGAATATTCCAGCAGTTACCCCCATTTGAATAGATGGCGGCCATGTTGGTCGTTCCCACTTGCTAATAAACGCTTAAAAACAACAATAACTTTCATTATTTGAATGGTTTAAAAACGCATTTGGAATAGGGTTAACTTAGTGTTTTTAAACTTAAAAGTTCCCTGTTTAAAAAATAGAAAACATACGAATCTTCTCATTTCATGGGAACGACCTGAGACTGCAATCACGGCTTCATTTCTTGAATTGCAGAATAATTAGATGCACTATCTAGTGTATATAAGATATCTATGTTCACCACCCTCATAACATGCACGAAGGTATATACAGTATATATATATATATATATATATATATATATATATATATATATATATATATATATATATATATATATATATATATATATATATATATATATATATCATAATAACAATGGTTCATTTTATTATTAGCCAGTAATCACGTTAAAAGATCAATAATTTTAGAATGCATGCTTCTCTCAAAACTCAAGCACAGTCAAATTTTGAATATACACTAAACTTAAAATAGAGATTTAAGCAAAAAATGAAAACATCAACAGTTGTGAAACACAATGGATTGATCACAGAGATTCATAGCAAAATATGTTGTCACGATTCTGTTACGCGTTAAGACACATATTCTTAGAAACGTGCATCTTGATTTATCCTATACCACAGTACCACAGTTTTATCTGAATAAACTCGTATAGTACATTCTGTAACACAAAACAAGAATCCTTTCCATCGATCTTAAAGGCGGAGTTTATGTAGAAATCGTGGTCTTTGGGTCCTGAATGCTTAAAAGTTTCCTTATACTGTAACCTTTCTTATACAATATATACGTCACGGAGCTGTGTTATTCAGAAACACTTACAACCAGCGTCTGCCAACAATAAATCCACTGCTTTGGTCTACTTATCATAATGTCCCACTGGTCGGACAGCATACTTTGATGGTCAGCGGGCGACTTCATACTACGTGGACTCAGAAGACTTAGATCACTTTCTCCTCCCCAGCTTAATCTGCGGCCTCGTTTTGGTGACATTGGTAGGTTTGCCATCAAACGAGAAAATGTCGGGGTGAAAGCCTTGCGAGCTGGATCAGGTGTGTGCGGGTTACTCTGGTAATGCCTGGGTGAAAGACTTTCATTGGGAGAATGTTGAACATCAGTCAAATTTAGTCGAGTGGGAGGAGGCGGCCGAGGTGGTTTTACTTTGGGTTCTTTCAAAGAGTTTTCTCCGTTGTTGTTGTTGTTGTTGTTGGTGATGTTATTGTTGTTGTTCTTGCTGCTGCTGCTGTTGTTGTTTGTTCCATTAACTATAACACTATCTGTATCTTGATCAAACTTGGAAACATGTATGCTAATGTCATTTGAATTTTCATGTCCCTCGCGACAGCCTGATGTCTCACCAGCATCTGTCCACGTATCATCGTCTGAATCTTGGTCAAATCTTGTTGTACTTGCTCGACTGTTTCGATTATAATTATTAGGAGACTGCAATCCTCTTGTCTCTGTTCCAATATCTGACATTGGTCTTCCATTCCTACCGGCTCGTGAAATATCACCCCGCACCAACGGGGAATATACAACACGTTCATTCACTGGTCTTTCAGAAGGGGAAGTAATAATAGGGCTTGCCAGGGAGTGGAAGTCAAACACATTGCTACATCCAATCCGTAGTTCTCCTAATAAGGAGTTCTTCTTATTTATACCAAGATGCCAGTTAACCACGCGGACACCCAACTGTTGTTTGCGTAACTGTGATTGTGCAACACCGTCGATGACGAAGTATTCGTCCCATATTGGAGAAGAGGATTTTTGAACTCGTTTTGTTTTGCAGCTTTTGATGTTTTTCTCATCTGGTAAGAGGTAGCTAGAAAATGACAAAAGCAAAATATGTAACGTGAAAGGGAAGTGTAAGATAGTTTATTACATAAGGGACCAGCCCTATATGCTATTTTTGAAATGACATGTTCTTCTAATTCGTTACTACAAGTGTATTACATAAAGAAGTATTTTGTGATGGAAATTATCCCATGTTCCAGATAAGACTTATCTTCTTCATAATGAACACAGGCTTAACTAATAACTAATATGGTTGTAAAATCATTGTTGCAACTTTTTTACAAAGGTATTAATCAGCAATCGTTCAAAGCTTTTTAGAGGTTATTCATGGTTGACCCGCTCTTGCCCCACCATTAGTGCCCACTACTGTTAGTTCTCATGATGGTGCAAGTAACTTACCATTTAACTTGCGGATCAGGGAGACCATCTTTCGTACGTGTGATCTGTTTTCCTTGAACAATATTGATATGGAGAAACCCTCTGCCAGCACTGTTTGAATGACTACGATAGTGACGACGATCTACTAAAGTTTCTTGACTGTTGCTGAACATCAAACCAAGCAGGATGATTGGCTTGTTGTACATTTCGGTGGGAGGCTAAAAAGTAGAAATATTCAAAAATAGTATTTCTATACTCTAGTTTTGGAAGCTGCTACTACATCCCAATTGTATTTCTTTAGGAAAGATGTTTGAATATCTCAATTTATGACCTCACGCACTCTACTTTTAAATTTTGTCATAAAAATTGACTTTTTGGATCAGTCAATATTCCTACAGTTCGTAAACCTGTTGCATACTAGATTCGACAAGAGTGAGAACGACAAAAACAAAAACAGTTTCACGATACGTAATATTTTCTACTGATAAACCGTAGTTTAAGTACTGTTTAATAAACGAGCAGGAGTGTTTTATCAGGTTTAAAGCCACTGCACGTGATATATTATGGTTGACATGATTTGCCAATTAGCTTATGAATTATTAATGAGTGCTTGAAGTATCTTTTAATTTTGGTGAGATACTTCTGAGAGGGATGTGATTGGCTAAATCACCGAAATGGTGAATTCTTACTATACAATACTGATTTGTAATTGTACTGATGCAGATGTGAAAATGTAAAACCAGAGGTTTGATTTTCTACTACATTAATTGGTTATTAGTTAATAAACTTCTTTTCTTAATGGTCAAATCAACATGGTTGATTGTTAATTAACATCCAATCATTGCAGGTTACTCGACTTCATGACGCCCCCAAATTGCCCCAATTCCAGTCTTCTCGCGTGAAAAAGCGCTGAAATATAGATATAGAAGGTCCTAGGTTTAGGCCAGATAAGAGTATACTTACTTTAAGTGCCACATTAAGGTCTAATGGAAACTCATCTTTACTTAAAATATTCTTTTCAAAAAGTCTTGTTTGCTGTTCAGGGGTTTCTCCAATTAAATGGATTGATAGAACTAAATTCTTGGCGTTTTGGAACTCTTTAACGTCCACAAGCCCAAGACCTAAACGTAAAATAAAATTACAGAATAACGGGAAGTATATGTTGTGTTATCAAATTTTCAATTTATGCAACGCTTGTAATAAATTGCGGTCGATGAAGTATATAATATGCTTAGGTTAGCTTGGAGAAGGTTGAATTACCTTGATAGAACCGAGCATTGAACAATGATAATTTAACATGTGAGCAATTTAACTAAATCGTTTGAAGAAATGAATTAAGTAAATAATAGCAGAGAACTGCCGCCCTTTGGGACGAGTGTATTCACAGGTCATTCAGGTCGCGAGTTCGAGCTGAATGACTTGATTTAGAGACTGGTCAGATCAGTCCGGTCATAGTTGAGTACCCGTTACCAAGGTCTGCCTATTGCCCTGTTATTTAGAGGCTCACCTTTTCCTCTGACCTGCTTACATGCTCAGTCTGGTCTAGGGCAGCCTTATACTGTTTCAGTTTACCATAGAGTGGTCTCGCTCTAGACCACTTGGACTCAACTCGTTGAACAATATGCACTTAGCTTGACCACCACCCCCTTGGCAATCTTAATCTAGAGGTTCTCCTGCTCCAATGATGTGAGTATGAGTTTATGATATACTTAAAGTAAAATCACACAAAAAAGTCGGGGTCACCGAACTCGTTAAGAAGATATGACAATCACAATATACCACCTTTACCCCAATATGGCGCCCTCATTACGAGTAACAGCAAAATCACAACAGCCCGATATTTATTGACGTTTTTAGCGCGGATTTTGCTTTAGTAAACCTATCTTGTAATTATTTTTGAAAAAATATTGTGTTTTGAGCAAAATGAAACTACAAATGTCTTTTCCACATTTCCTTGCATATCTTTCTTTGAGAACATGCATTGATAAAGCATTTTTTTCAAGGTCCAGAAATGATTTTTCTTTTAATTTCGGATATGAAATGTAAAATGCTTTAAAGAAATAAATTAGCAGTTAAAAAACGGGGGTCACCGATCTTTTTAGGGAATTGTGGCATTAACGTGAAATACAAGTAAATAAATATACTACAGACACAGGAACCCTAGCTACACTTTTGTATGCCTTTTTTGAAAACATTGATTTTAACGAAATTCTTTGCACGAATGTAACCAAAGATGTTTTGAAGTAACATAAAATTGTCATAAACGGTACGTATAATGGATGGAATTATAAGTTATAAGATGTGCGCAGCAGTAAAAGTGCGCAATGCAAAACTGCGGAATTACCTTAAAAAATGTTGCGTAAAAATTTTTTTAATCGTTTCTAAAAAACAAGGAGTAAAACGTTTATCATAGTGCTCAACTACAACTGTGGACTTACCTTCCATATGAGATATTGTTTTCTTGGTGTCACCACTTGCCAACATAACCAGAACATCTCCTCCATTTAAATGACGACTTTCAACTTTAATCGAAACTTGATCTACTACCAAACCACAAGGTGTAAAATCCACTTTCCAGGTCAGTATTCCTGTGTTACTTCCCGGTGTACGTTCCAAGTATACCTAGAAAGAAAAATACCTTTTGTAAGGTTATAAAAACTAATGAAGATTCGTAGAGGCTCCTGAAGAGGGATCTTGACCCATTTCCCGCCCATATTTTTTCCAATTTGCTTTTGAGCGTGAAATTTCACAATTTTTTGCTTGGGACTATATAATAAACAGAACGTTACACGGTGGCTTGAAGATATGAATTTTATCTTCTCGTGTTAAAAATAGTATTTTACTCACTCGCTGCGCTCGTTCGTAAATATTGTTTTCACCACTCGAAGATAAAAGTCATATCTTCGCGCCGTCGTGTATATGATATCCTCTATATATCATTCCTGAAACAATTAAGGATTTGTAGAAAATAATAACACTAACCAAATTATTTTTGGTATCCACAACTCTCTGGACAGATTCAAAGGAATAAACTCCTCTCTCCCAGCCACGTACATTTCCTCCAACCCTCGTGAGAACACAATCCTCCAGCTCTCTGTGATACGCATCAGAACATGGACTGTAGCGTAGTCGAAACCTGGAACACATAAATCAAATATCTCTTAAATTAAATAGTTATTAATCTTTTAAAATACTCACTGTGGTCTATCTAAAGTAAGTATAATTGACTGACTTTGTCATTGATTAATTATCATTGGTTGTACTCTACAAGTATACACTCAATTTACCTCTGTTTTACTGCGTCATCCTTCTGTGGAATAAAAACGTATTTTCCTGAACCTGTGTCGGATGTCTCAACTGGTGGAACAGTTTCCTGCATAAAGATAAAATCAGAGAAGAAATTTTTGAGCAACAGAACAGTATGCCCTCCATGATTCGTACGATATTGTGCACATATATAAACAGATCACCCTGGAATGTCGTTCTACTCAGTTGTATGCACGTTATTCGCACTATAGTGGCATATATAGTACAGCGACAGATCACACTAGAACACGGACTAGGGATCGATCACTGCAGGGTAAGGGAGAGGAGCTCGGCAAAGGACACTTTCACTGGAATCTCTATCCTGGAGTGTGAAGCTGTACACTAGAATAAGTATACAGTAGTAAGGTAGGCTTCGACTTCCTCCTTAGCTAAACTTTTCTTTTGGTCAGAGGAATTCCATTAATAGACTAAGCACATTGCAGGTGATACGCATTTTGCAACAGTTTGGAAGAAACCAATTAAAATTTCGCGGGCTCTTCATACAGTAGATTAAGCTACCGACCGCGCGCATGGGAATAGGGCTCTATACAGCCGGAAGTTCGGTCAAAAATTGCACGTTGATTTCATAAGTAGCTGATGTCGAGAATTAGCCAGGGACTGTTGAACAATCAGGAATTAGAATAATAATATAAGACGTTCATTGACCAAAAATTATTTATTTATTTTCATAAGCTCTCAGCCACATACTGTGGTTTTCGACAGGTCCAATGGCAATGTGTAATAATAGATCACTGGCATTAGCCCTGGCGACCACTGAAAAGGCGGAATGAACAAATAGCAATAGCTAAACATATTCTAACAAATGATCATGTTTACCTTTGCGTCATGTATGCTCGCTGTTCGTGGCGATGTTGGTAGAGTAGAATACCTCAAAGCTAGTACTGATGGCTCTTGGGAACGATGTCTGACGGGTAAAATAAACGAAAATTCTTCATTAAAATGTCATCAAAATGTTTTGTGCAAGTCAAATGACGAAATTTAAAAGAATTACCAGAAAACCTTTCCCTATATTGCAAAAATGATTTGGGCAAAATAAATAATAATAAAATGAAATAAAATGATAAATATAATGATAAATAAAATGATATAAAATGAGCAATAAAAAATGTGTCGAGACAGTTGAGTATACATGTTTGGCTGCAGTGAATTTCATTTTTGGCACTAAATCACACTTTAGCACGGTATTTCAAGGCATATTTCATTCTATTAGACTTCTATGTCATCAACGGCTAGATGTATTAATATATCTTAAAATCAATTTCAGAAATATCAGTTCTGACACTCTGTCCTTGGCTTTGTTTTCATAACTCACTGAAAATATAGTGATAACTTACTAGCAGTATATATATATATATATATATATATATATATATATATATATATATATATATATATATATATATATATATATATATATATATATATATATATATATATATAAAGTTAGATATTTTTCACGTGTTTGTTTCACTAAGGTATATATACAGTCGGTTTAACTTTGCCGGTACCCTGTTCGATAAGTATTCCTTCCACTCGCGAGCTCACACTGATCATAGTGATCGAAGTGTACCATGTGTCCAGGCCTTGTGACCATATATATATATATTTATATAATACCTTATTAAATTCTAATCATTTAATTGGCTGTTTATGGTCACGTGATATTGAACAGAAAATTCCATTTCCCAAGAGTGCAATGGAACACGTTCCATTGCACTCTCCGCGAGTGCAATGGAATAAAACGTATAGTACAATTGCACTCTTTGTGTTTTCGATAAATCGCATCCCTCAAAATGCTTCTCATACGAATCTATTAGTCTATTTTGGTATTATATAAAACAAATAATGAATGTTTCTTCGTGCAATGGTAAGAATATTTTCATTCGGTGGAAGATGGAATGTTCCATTCAACTCGGCTGTCGCCTCGTTGAATGGAACATTCCATCTTTCACCTCATGAAAATATTCTTACCATTGCACTCATAAACATTCATTATTTGTATAATATATATATATATATATATATATATATATATATATATATATATATATATATATATATATATATATATATATATATATATAATCATATATATATATATAATCATATATATATATATATATATATATATATATATATATATATATATATATATATATATATATACAGGGTGTATCAAAATAAACGCAATTCATCTTTTGTGCTTAATAACTTTCGAAATACTATTTCTAGTTAAACGTTTTTAGGCTTACTTCAAAGCCTGTTCTTTTCTCTTTCAAACAAACTATTATCCTTGTCTCCAATGCTAGTAATAATTGCACAAGAAAAGATTTAGTAAAACCTATCATTTTTAGTTGCTGTTTAATTATGCAAGTTTACTATGTTATTGTTTAGTCGGTTTAAATGTTAGAATTTTCTTCTTTAAACTTTAATGTTGTCATCACTACATCTGGAAAACCACGTAAGAACAAATTAAAAGTATTTTAAAAAAGACCAGGTTGTTTGAAAATCCTAAACGAATGCTAAAAATCGTCAAAACATTCTGGTGTCTGAGCCAGAGTGTCATCGAATTGCGATGTAATGTAAACAGAAATTATAACAAGTTGATGTCAGTCAGCTTAGATGGTCCAAGCCAAAATTATATCGCATTTGAAGTTTCAAACTGAGTTAAAATAGTGGAAGAAAAGCCGTAATTATACTTATTGTTACAATCCATTTAATAAAATGCAACATTTTTTTGTTTTAATGAAAAAATCAGTTATTTTCA